CCGCCCCTAGTAGTACCTATATCTCCAACTTACTCTCTATTGCATCCATGTTCCCAGCTAACAGAAAACGTTTATTTGAACGTCAAATGGTCATATGGCACTCATAGAACTGACGATGGGTTGAAGCAATGGGATAAGGCTCTTTAACTTTCAAATTAATGTTTTCCATTACAAAGAGACATGGCTGAGAATATGAGTGCCACACATCGAAAGATTAGAGATTCATAGTTATATTTACCCTTTTATTGTAAAGAATGGATAAATTTTCCCACATTCTTCCTTGTTTTAATCATCGAAAACCAAGCATGTTAAATAAGCTCAATGTTTTTTAGGTTTAAGAAATATATAATATGTTAAACTAAATTAAGTAAAGCGCTTCAATTGCTAATATGTAGTTAAAAGTTGCAGCCGACTCCTCCCACATTAAACAGAAAAATAAACGATCTAAAATGTTCGGATCAACTTTGTACCGAGTAAAGGGACGGTTCTCATTTTAAAGAACTAACAGAGTTTTCACCTTCGTAAATTAAGCGTGTTGAACCTACCAACGTGTTTTGTGTGTTTAAGGTTAAATCCTACTGTCCATTTGGCTTTTCAATTTTGGACATTAGTTAAAAAATTGAGAACTATCAGTATTAAAGACAAAAAGCCTATAAGATGTTAATATTTAATTTTCATTGATTAGAGCTTAAGTGGATAACTTTTGGACCAGATTTGGACACTTCTTTTTGTAAAGATTTTATGACAAACTTTTAATAAACAATTATAAAAGTTAAAAAGGATGATGGGGACCGTGATTAGGGAAGATATAGCAAATTTAAGTGTCCTTTTCAGGTCTGCCTCTTATGGGACAATTAACATTTTTAATTATATGGTCAAATAGTCTTTAAAACGTTAATTATTGAAATGATAATTTAAAGGGAAAATTTCAGCAGTGGTCCTTCATCTTTTCATTTTTTTGTAGATTTTATCCTACTCTTCATTTTGTATCAGTGGAGGTTCCTAACCTTTTATAGATATACACTTGATGTCCATCTGGACGGAAACTATCCAAAATACAATCAGTTGATCGAAAAAATTAAAGAATCAACATCCAATAAATTCGTTCAAAATATTGTCCAAAAAGGTATTAACATCTAATAAAACCGTCGTTGTAACAGATAGTATAAGGAATTTTTTCGATCAACTGACAGTATTTTAGATGGTTTCCATACAAATGGGTCTCAGGTGTATATTTATGAAAGGTTAGGGACCTATGCTGGCACGAAATGAAGGTTAAGATAAAGTCTGCAAAAAACGAAAAGGTTAAAGATCGCTGCTGCAACTTTCCCTAATTTAAATGTTTGATCCAAATTGATTGGTGGAGTGGGAAACACCACTCCTGCCATATGTTTATGACTCACAATTTAGAGGACGTAAAATATATGAAATTTTGTGTCTAGATGTGACTGTATTAATTTTTTTGGTAAGATGATTATTTACTTTTTATATCACGATTATAAAGTAATCATAAGGAGATATAGTCAGTTAATTGAGGGTACTATTCTATTTTAACTTGGTTATTTTTAATCATCTTTTAAGTTTCATGCCTAAAGCTAAAATGCAAGTGATAGGTGTATTTTATAGATTTATTTGGGCCGTTAAACAAGAATAATTGTTGGTTAGTTATTTGAAATATGGCTTAATCTTTGTAAACTTCGATTATTGTGGAGTTGAAGAAAACGGCCAGAAAAAGAGGTTGAGCAAATCATATCTACAGTTTTGGGACTAAAATGCAAATAATCAAAAGTTGGGCTAAATGAGGAATGAAGATTCGAGATTGCGAGAATTCAATGGGAAAAAAAATGTGAAAAAAGCAAAAGGAAGTGAGTAAGGACAAAATGAAGCCCTTAGAGAAAGTTTAAGGGCCAAGTGGCAACCCAGATGCGCTCTCACACTTGTAGGCGAGGCACGCTCTTCAAACACAATGGGGTGCTTACAGTAAGGCTAGCCCCAACATAAAACCAAAATAAATAAATAAATAAAAAT